AAAATAAATAATAAAATAAAATAAATAAAATAACAAATAAAATGAAAAATAAAATAAAAATAAAATACAAAATAAAATAAAAAATATAAAATAAAATAAAAAATAAAATAGTAAAAAATAATAAAATTAAAAATTAAAAAAAACCTCAAAACATCGTAACTCCACATCATGTCAACCACAAAAATGCCAAGTTATACTCCACGTACGCAGGACAGTCAAAATACATCCTGCATCACGTGAAACTAAAAGGAATAAATTTAAAAAATTGAAAAAAGAATCCGTCCACCCATTGGGATCTCTGAATGGATGAATAGACTCGTGACCAGAAGGCTGCATGCACAGAGGCAGAACAAGTACAAAAGTCGCCAAGTATTTAAAAAAAACAAGAACTGATGAACGAATGAGGAGAGGACACAATGCAGGAGCAAACCTGGAAACCCCTGGCTGGGGGGGACAATGCACAGCTGAGCTTTGGGGAAACGTGAGCTGATTGGTTGCTTCCTGGTCATGCCCCCTCTTATATTAGCGCTGATTGGGCGGTATTCTAACCGCGCCCCCTCGCTGGTTGGGGCATCCTGGCCACGCCCCTCTCACGCGCTGCTGCTGGTTGGGTGCACCTGACCACATCCCTCTGACGCAGAGCTGATTGAGCGCTTCCTGGCCACACCCCCTCTTATCTTAGCGCTGATTGGGCATATTCTAATTCGCCCCCTCGCCCACGTAGTGCGGGTTGGGCGCATCCTGGTCTCGCCCCTCTCCCGGTAGCGCTGGTTGGGTACATCCAGACCACACCCCTCTCATGCTACCTTATTGGGTGCATCCTGGCCACACCCATCTTATCTTAGCGCTGATTGGGCGTATTCTAATACGCCCCCTCTGTCTACGGGGTAAAAATGGGAGTTCATAACGCACTTGAATCAAAGTGTGAAATATGATATGCCAAGAACTATGTAATGTTTTGAACAACCAACAATAAAAATTAAAAGAAAAAAAATAAAATAAAGGAACTCAGTTTACTCATGTAAAAAAAAATAATAATAATATGCCCCCTCGCCCATGTAGTGCTGGTTGGACGCATCCTGACCACACCCCTCTCACACGTATAGCTGATTGGGCGCTTCTTGGCCACGCCCCCTCGTATCTTAGCGCTGATTGGGCATATTCTAACCACTCCCTCTCACCCACGTAGTGCTGGTTGGGTGCATCCTGGTCATGCCCCTCTCCCTCCTGGTAGCGCTGGTTGGGTGCATCCTGACCACACCCCTCTCACGCGTATAGCTGATTGGGTGCTTCTTGGCTACGCCCCCTCTTAGCGCTGATTGGGCGTATTCTAACTACGCCCCCTCACCCATGTAGTGCTGGTTGGGCGCATCCTGGTCATGCCCCTCTCCCGGTAGCGCTGGTTGGGTACATCCAGACCACACCCCTCTCACGCGTATAGCTGATTGGGCGCTTCTTGGCTACGCCCCCTCTTAGCGCTGATTGGGCGTATTCTAACCACGTCCCCTCACCCATGTAGTGCTGGTTGGGCGCATCCTGGTCACGCCCCTTTTCCGGTAGAGCTGGTTGGGTACATCAGACCACACTCCTCTCACTCGTATAGCTGATTGGGCGCTTCCTGGTCGTGCTCCCTCTTGTCTTAGCGCTGATTGGGGTATTCTAACCACGCCCCCTCGCCCATGTAGTGCTGGTTGGGCGCATCCTGGTCACGCCCCTCTCCCTCCCGGTAGCGCTGGTTGGGTGCACCCTGACCACACCCCTTCTCGCGCTTATAGCTGATTGGGCGAATCCTGGTCACACCCCCTCTCACCTGTAGCGCTGTAGCTCCGCCTCCAGCTGCTGCACCCAGCGCTGCAAACTGGGCACTTGCTGTGCCAGCGCCTCCAGCTCCCGCACACGGCTCAGGCTGCGCAGCACGGCCTGCCGGGCCTCCTCTGCGCGTCGCCGCACCTCGGCCTGGCCCTGCTGCAGCCTCCCAGCGCGGGCCTCCGCCGCCGCCAGCGCTCCCTGCGCCTGTCGCAGCTCCCGCGCCACTGCCTCGGGCCTGCCGCATCCCTCTTCGTGCGCGCCTGCCTGGCTCTTCCAGAGGCCAACCTGTGGGGTCAGGGGACCAGGGGGCAGGAGGTGAGCCCTGGTACCAGATGCACGACACGGATGCCAGCCACGACGGCTGCCCCCATTCCCGCGCATGCAGAAGCACGTTGGCAAAACAGTGGCGCACGTTAATTGCACGCTCTGCTTCCCAGTGCCAGGGTTTCCTCTAAGAGCCTAGTGTCTGGATTCATTCAATATTCAGAATGTCCCTGATGAGGCTGGAACTTGAACGGTTCCCCCTTTAGAGGCACGAAGCCCGTATTCTGTCCTTTGCATGGTGACAATGATTCCTAAACTATGTGACTTTTTCTTGGCCTCTGTCCTGCATTTGTACCATTCAACCTGGCGCTTCTCATGCCCCAGACTTGGGCTTGGGCACCTCAAAACGAGAAGATTCCAGTTTCCTTGAGGCTCATTGAGGAGGGGCGGGGTCTGTCTGTGCTGTTGACTGCTGTGTTCCCAGAGCCCAACAGCTAGCACACAGTAGGTGCCCAATAAATGATAATGCATGATCAGGAGCCGTCTTTTCACCCACATCCTAGTGATTTCACGTCCTGGGGATACTGTCCCCTCTCCACCCTGGGCTCTGCCACCTGCCCTTAGGCTTCCACACCCATATGGCCACTGAAAGCCAGCACCTTGCCATTTGTCTGCATCAGGTCCATCCTCTCTGCCCTCTCCTGGCCAGTTGACTGGCGAGGGACGAAGGGTGTTCATATAAAGTTGAGGCAGGGGACTGGGGATGTGGCTCAAG